CAGTCAATCGCTATCGTAAACTTCAACTGTAGAATTTGTTTTTTTCTTTTTTTTTTTAAATTTAGAGACGTTAGAGTTATAAATTTCCTAAAAGCAGAACGTTTTATCGAATTTGAATCGAGTTTCCAGGCTCCTCTCTCCACTCCAAGCACATCATCGATCGCACAACCCACCCCCATCAACCCGTTTCTCACTCCGACAATCACGACGATGAAACCAGAAGAACAAGCAAAGATCTTCATGAATATGGTATTTTATTTTTCTTAATTTTTTTCCTACAACACAATTGTAAGTTTACTTTTTTGATTTAAATAATTATAGCTTTCACAATCTCAACCATCAACAACCATCAATCCAGCTATCAATCCAGCTATCGCTCCAGCTATCAATCCAGCTATCAATCCAGCTATCACTCCAGCTATCAATCCATTCAGCTCTCCGCAACAAGCCACGAATTTGGTAATAAAAAATATAAATTTGGAACCAAGGGGAATCTGGTAATAAAAAATATCAATTTGGAACCAGGAGGAATCGAAACCCTCGACCTTATGTTTATCAGCCAGATACTCTACCATTGAGCTATCGGCACCTTGTTTCCTCGAGAAGAAATAGGAAACATAAAGAAGAAAGAGAGGGAAAGTTGATATCAAGAATATATCATAATTCTATGATTTGTACCCAATTTTCTCATGTCTTATTTAAAACAAAAAACTTCTTGATAGTTGCTCAAAAACTATAGTTGCCCTTAAAGCATTAGCAAAGTTTACAGTACCGTTAAAGCAACGGTACTGTAAACTTTGCTAATAATTTTTATTGATTTAAGAATTCTGAGAGTTCAATTCTAAGGATTTCTATTCAGTTCTCACAACAAATCCCGTCAGTCAATTCGTCCTCATCGATCACTCCATCGACGAATTTGGTTAGTTTTTTAAGCAGTTGTAAGAACAGCAGTTTTAAGCAACTTTTACAGCTTCTAACATCAATTTCATCTTTTTTTTTTCAGATCTCACAATTCGCCTCTTCATCTTCATCATCATCTTCATCAATTTCCTCATCGATTTCACTATCCACTCCACCACAAAACCTACAGCTGAACCCATTTCTGACACCGCCATCCTCAGGAGAATCCACGAAAAATGGAGCGATTGGAATTGGAATCGTAAGGGAAACTTTTAAAGAAATCAGTGCTCTTCCTAAGCCATGTAAACATAACCGATTGATTTTCAACTTTAGCTTCCACAAACGCCGATTGCTTGGAACAATCACAACGCTTCGCTAAAAAGAAAGAATCCTTTCCAAATCACTCCATCAAGTGATGAATTGCAGAAGATGAGGAATAAAATTATTCCGAAAAAGGTAAAAATAAGCCTAGCTACAGTAAAACTCTTTTTGTTTAGCTAAAAAAAGAACAAAAGGAGAAACTCCGTCGTGATCGAATCAATCGCTCGACGATTCAATTGAGGAATCTTCTCATGGAAGCCATCCCTAATGAAACGTAGGTTTTATTGGCTATCAATTAGATCGATTAGATTGATTAGATTGATTAGATTGATTAGATTGATTAGATTGATTAGATCGATTAGATTGATTAGATCGATTAGATCGATTAGATCGATTAGATTGATTAGATTGATTAGATCGATTAGATTGATTAGATCGATTAGATTGATTAGATCGATTAGATCGATTAGATTGATTAGATTGATTAGATCGATTAGATCAATTAGATCAATTAGATCGATTAGATCGACTAGATCGATTAGATTGATTAGATATTTTAATTGATTTTTTCTTTGCATTTGATTTCTTCATTTGATTTCTTTATTTAAATCTTTTCCAGCTATAGGTTAAAACTGGAGAAAGTTGATATCTACGAGCTGGCAATCACATACATTCGACGATTAGAAGAAAAAGTCAAAGAGAAAAGACAAGATGGGAAAATTTTAGATGATGGTGAGTAAAAGAAAAGGGTTTTACAAACACTACAATTGCACCAGAGTGAATCATTTTTACGACACAACATTTTACGATAACGGAACACAAGATATAGGAATATGAAACCAGCGCTTAAATCTCTTTTTTAAAATATCTTTGCAAAAAAAAAATTGTAAACTTTTCCTAATAAGTGTTTTATTAGTTTAAAAGCTCGGAATCTTTTCTATAAAATAACAAAAAGGATTTTGAATTGAATTGAATTATTGGGGAGTTGGATGAGTTTTAAGTTGAATGGTTTAAAATGATCATTTAAAACCACTAGATTTACCAGAATCATTTAAAATGATTGTGTGTGTACTCTGAGCCTCTGATATCACAGGTCCAACTATCACTTTCTGGCACATGATGTCTACAGCTAGTCTCAGGTTTTTCTCGATTTGTTTTCTAGAGCTGAATCTAGAGCTAAATCTAGAGCTAAAGCTAAAGCTAGAGCTAAATCTAGAGCTAAATCTAGAGCTAGAGCTAAATCTAGAGCTAGAGCTAGAGCTAAATCTAGAGCTAAAGCTAAATCTAGAGCTAAATCTAGAGCTAAATCTAGAGCTAAAGCTAGAGCTAAAGCTAGAGCTAAATCTAGAGCTAAATCTAGAGCTAAAGCTAAATCTAGAGCTAAAGCTAGAGCTAAAGCTAGAGCTAAAGCTAGAGCTAAAGCTAGAGCTAAAGCTAGAGCTAAAGCTAGAGCTAAATCTAGAGCTAAATCTAGAGCTAAAGCTAGAGCTAAAGCTAGAGCTAAATCTAGAGCTAAATCTAGAGCTAAAGCTAGAGCTAAAGCTAAAGCTAGAGCTAAATCTAGAGCTAGAGCTAGAGCTAAATCTAGAGCTAAAGCTAAATCTAGAGCTAAATCTAGAGCTAAAGCTAGAGCTAAATCTAGAGCTAAAGCTAGAGCTAGAGCTAAAACTAATCTTTGTTTTTTCCAAAAAAGCTTAAGATCAAGATTTTAAGATCAACTTTACTTTAGATCTACTTTCAACTCATAGATCAAGCTGTTTTAAGCTCATAGAATCTAAGATGTTTGTTGAAGTTTTAGTGCAACTTTTGTGTAATGTCTATCAGTGAACATTCAAGCGATTTCAATTTTCAATCAAAAAAAAAAGATCCGTGAAAGCAATAGTTGCCAAACAAGTCCACGCACCCAGATCAACAGGTGCATGAGACTCGACCTGTGGCGACTTTTTACTATCCAACTCTCCAATAATCAATTTCGATTCAAAATCTTCTTTTTTGTGTGCACAACTTTGTCGAGAAGTTTCACGACTTTCGAATAGTTATTTAAAACTTATTGCTTCACTTGAAATGTTTTTATTTTTCGAAAGATATTTGAGCGCTGATTTTATTTCTATATTATTACGCTTTACAAAAGAATGATTTTCTCAAAAACCAAAAAAAGTTTCCAATCTTTTTTCTTTAGCTATTTAAAATCTACGAACATTTTGCATTAGATTCATTAATTTATGTAAAGATTTAAAACTTTATTCCTTTTATATAAGACATAATTATTGCTGAAGATACTCTATCTTAAAAAGAATTTGATTAGCTTTTCAATATAACTTTTCAATATAACTTTTCAAGTTCAGATCCAGTGCCCACACTTCTCAATCAATATGGAGCTGCCGGTTATGCAGCCGGATGTGCGGATGCGAGTCGTTACTATGCTCAGTTGCTTTTCCCTACACCGCTCACCCCACAACAACCAATGGCTGGAGTCGGGTACGCTTTCAACTATAACATCAGGATCTCTTTGCCATTAGAATCCTAATCAACAATGCTACAGTTTTTACAGTAATCATGAGTTCATTTAGAATAAAACTCATTCCAGATTCACTCATTTCAGATTCCCATTCGGTGCCGCCCCTCCAACACCAATGAGCACCCCGTCTCTGTCTTTTGATCAAATGATGGCCGGGCTCGCGAAAACGAATCAAGCGCCGCAAACTGTCAAGAGTTTCCAACAACAGAAACAACAGCCATCAACTTCCGAAATCAATAACAAAGCTGGCAGGTAGGTTGAAAGCATTTGAATTTGAAAGCATTTGAATTTGAAAGCATTTGAAGTTGAAAGCATTTGAAGTTGAAAGCATTTGACGTTGAAACCAGTTAAAACCAGTTGAAACCATTTGAATTTGAACCAGTTAGAACCAGTTAGAACCAGTTGGAACCAGTTGGAACCAGTTAAAACCAGTTAAAACCAGTTAAAACCAATTGAAACCAGTTAAAACCAGTTAAAACCAGTTGAAACCAGTTGAAACCACAAGTCACTTTTTTAGTTCAATTTCACCGCAAAGATCGTTCAAACAAGAGAGACAGGAAAACGAGAAAGAAAGGTAATTTCCATGAGATTGTTGTTCATTTCTTTGTTAATAAATATGGAGTTAGTTTAAGAAAAATCGGGGAACTAATAGTTGTGTTTGCGATAAATTTTTCAGTTCTTTGCGTTACCAATCCGATACAGGAAAACAAATGTTAGCAGTAGAGTTTTTTCAAATCTATTCCTACGATAAAAAAATATTTTTTAACGTTTACTTTTCTCTAAAAGTTCTAAAAGTTCGAGCAATTAGATGGATCGTAAACTCTCAGAAAACTCTCAGAAATCTCGTCGCCAGTTCCGAAGAAGACGATTTAGTTTAAGATCGATAAGCCTGAGCCTAAGCCTAGCCTGAGCCTAAGCCTAGGCCTAAGCCCAAGCATAAGCCTAGGCCTAAACCTAAGCATAAGCCTAGCCTGAGCCTAAGCCTAAGCCTAAGCCTAAGCCTAAGCCTAGCCTGAGCCTAAGCCTAGGCCTAAGCCCAAGCATAAGCCTAAGCCTAAGCCTAGCCTGAGCCTAAGCCTAGGCCTAAGCCTAAGCATAAGCCTAAGCCTAAGCCTAAGCCTAAGCCTAGCCTGAGCCTAAGCCTAGGCCTAAGCCCAAGCATAAGCCTAAGCCTAAGCCTAGCCTGAGCCTAAGCCTAGGCCTAAGCCCAAGCATAAGCCTAAGCCTAAGCCTAGCCTGAGCCTAAGCCTAGGCCTAAGCCCAAGCATAAGCCTAAGCCTAAGCCTAGCCTGAGCCTAAGCCTAGGCCTAAGCCTAAGCATAAGCCTAAGCCTAAGCCTAAGCCCAAGCATAAGCCTAAGCCTAAGCCTAGCCTGAGCCTAAGCCTAACCTGAGCTCGTCGCCAGTGTCAGCTTATCGATCGTAAACGAGTAATTAGATGGATCGTAAACTCTCAGAAAACTCTCAGAAAACTTTCAGAAATCTCGTCGCCAGTGCCGAAGAAGACGAGAAACGCTCCGCTTTCTCAGCTGAAGCCGAGGAAAACTCGGATGAATCGGATGACGGCGATGAAGGTGACGAGTCGGATTGCGAGATCTTAATGGACTAGAAATACGAATTCGAGAATTTTCATTGTAAAATAGTATTATCTAGAAATTTATCTATTTATCTTTATCAATTCCTCATCTTCCACAGGGTTTTTCTTTTGAAAAACCCTTTAAACTTTGAAAATTTGAAAAAACCCCTTAAATCTCAACAATTTTACTTAACTTTTATGTAAATTTCATTTAGAGAATTTACTTGAATTCTTGTTATTTTAAATTTAAATCTTCAAATTTCGAATATTTTTCGAGAAATTTTCGATTTTTCGATTTTTCGATTTTTCGACATTTTCCTGAGCTGGTCTCTTGCCAAATTTACGAGTTTAAACCTTGGAAATTCGGAAAAAAAACATGGAAATTTGTTTGTTTGGGGGTGGGACAAATGCGACCTTTTTTTTGCGCACCTGGACATTTGCGCACCTTTTTTTTCCTGGAAAAGGCCTTAGGAAAGGCCGTAGAGCTTCGAAAATGTTTTCATATAAGGGAATCGTATGCGTAGATTCCGAATTTCGACAAATCACACCTCGCTGACACGTCAAATTTGGGCTAAAAGGCAAAAACTGCGGAAAAGCGTTAAGTTGCGTAGTTTTTGCCTTTTAACCCAAATTTGACGTGTCAGGGAGGTCTGATTTGTCGAAATTCGGAATCTACGCATACGATTCCCTAATAGGGAAAAATTTTCGAAGCTCTACGGCCTTTCCTAAGGCCTTTTCCAGCAAAAAAAAAAGGTGCGCAAAAAAAAGGTCGCATTTGTCCCACCCCCGTTTGTTTAATTGTTTTAATATGTGTAAGGTATTGTTTTTCATTGTTTTAAATTGTTTTAAATTGTTTTAAATTGTTTTAAATTGTTTTAAATTGTTTTTCATTGTTTTTCATTGTTTTTCATTGTTTTTCATTGTTTTAAATTGTTTTTCATTGTATTTCATCTTTTTTTTTTGTGCAAAATAAAGAAAATCTTTTCTTTTTCTCAAGAATTTTATCATTGTTTACAAAGTTTACAATTTTGTTTACAATTTTCGAGATCGTTTTTGCTTTTTTTCCGCTAACTATTTCCACACGAGAGTCACGACGAATTCGGCTAAGTAAAGCAAAAAAGTGATCCAAGAGAAAATCTGAAAAATTTCCATAAATTAGTAGAGTTTTTTTAGTTCTATAGGATTTTTTTTTTGATATTTTACTTTGTACTTTGTAAAATATCAAAGTAAAATAGGTAAAATAGTAAAAGCAAAAGGCTTCCTTTCTGTTCCCATTTGGTCTCCATTTGGTTCCGATTCGGTTCCCATTTGGTTCCCATTTGATTCTCATTCGTCTCTATCGGTTCCGCTTCGGTTCTCGTTCGGTTTCTATTTCGTTCCGATTTGGTTCTGATTTGGTTCCCATTTGGTTCTCATTCTGTCCCGATTTGGCTCCCATTCGTTTCTCATTTGGTTCTCATTCGGTTCTCATTCGGTTCTCTTTCGGTTCTCATTCGGTTCTCATTTCGTTCCGATTTGGTTCTCATTCTGTCTCGATTCGGTTCCCATTTGGTTCTCATTTGGTTTTCATTTGGTTCTCGTTCGGTTCTCATTCTGTCCCGATTCGGTTCTCATTCTGTCCCGGTTTGGTTCCCGTTCGGTTCTCATTTGTTTCCCATTTGGTTCTCTTTCGGTTCTCATTCGGCTCCAATTCGGTTCTCATTTGGTTCCCATTTGGTTCCCAGTCGATATTTTACTTTGCGCTCGCAAAATCCTTTTTGGATGAACTGAATTCATTGCTTTCCCCACTTCTAAAGCCTTGGCGAGAAAAACAGTGTGCCAAAAAGGGTGTGTTTGCAAAAAAAAGAAGATTTTCGAAGAAAGACTTACACAGCCAAAAATGAAGCGAGTCTTAAACCTTCCATCACTCCATCTTGAGGCTTTCGATGAGTAATTCACGAGCAGAACACCGGTCACAATTAACAATGCGATTGCGATACCGTTCCCGATTAGACACTGAAATAAAAAATTTATTGTTTGTATGTATGTTTGTATTATTTGAAACTTTAATTGATTAGCTAGTTTGCTGAAAAGTTGGCTTTGATTTTCATGAGACTGAATGATCCAATCTACAGCAGCTATAGCGACAACTTTTTGAAAAACTAGCTGGGAAATGGGTGATCTATTTCAAAAGTGACAAGTATTATATAGAGAATTGTAGCCCTTAATCTTAGCTACATTTCCCTACCAAAAACTTTCTGATTGGACTTATACAACTCATTTCACAAGCGATTGAATGAGCGCTAGTCTCTCCAGCGACTCTGTCATTTTAGCGCTCATTCAATCGCTTGTTAAATGAGTTGTATAAGTCCAATCAGAAAGTTTTTGGTAGGGAAATGTAGCTAAGATTAAGGGCTACAATTCTCCATATAACACTTGCCACTTTTAAAATAAATTACAGATTTCCCAGCTAGTTTTTCAAAAAGTTGTCGCTCGCGGTTGCTTTGTAACTATTGTATAATTTTAAAGCTCGAATTCTCTAGAAAACAAAGTTGACCGTTAAAGCCGTTTAAATTTCGAAACCTTTAATTTCCCAATTCTTCCCGCCATCTCATTTCCCATGATGACGCCGACAAAAAGAATTGTCGACCAAACGAAAACCACAAACAACATTGGAGCGTATAGGATTTGCCAACCGTAACGCTGAACATTCACATTTTTCTATTTTCTTTTTTATTCAACTTACATCCGGATACACGATAAAATACAAATTCCCGTCAACCGAGAAAAGCGTGATCGTCACCATCGTGGCAAAGGTGAGACACTGTGAAAAAAAAATGTTTTAAAAGTTGCATTTAATTAAAGAGACATTGATAAATCTGGGTTTAAAGGTAGATTTCTCTATTGAAAATATATATGTCGTAGCCGATTATGAATGAAATTTTTTGGTAAATCTTTCTAGTAGAGCAACCCTTTAATGTATGAGGACAATATTATATCATCCTGTAGCGAATTAAATTCTGCGTCGATTGGTACCAAATTTGTGAGTTTAGGTTAAAAATTACCGGCGCTACAACGTTTCATTCAAAATCGGCGGGACCCCCGTAGCCGATTATGAATTTCAGCCGATTATGAATGAGCGGGTCTAGGAGCGTCCAACCATCGAGTATTTGGTATCATTCAACGCAGAATCATTGATCTTATTGATAAAAACACAAAAAAATCTGCTGATTTTGATACTAGAGAGTTTCTATTCAAATAAATATTAGCCTAAGCGCTTTTAAAATTATTTTCTTACGTTTTTAGCATAAAGATAAAGATTAAACGTTTATATGTCGTAGTCGATTATGAATGAGCGGGTCTAGGAGCGTCCAACCATCAAGTATTTGGTATCATTCAACGCAGAATCATTAATAATTATGTTAAATTTTTAAAATTAGAAAGATTGGATAAAAAGAAAAAAAATTATGGGGCCTCAAAGTTTCCTCTTGAACAAACAGTTTTTTTGCTCTAATTTTTTTTCTTTTTATCCAATCTTTCTAATTTAAAAAATTTAACATAATTATTAATGATTCTGCGTTGAATGATACTAAATACTTGATGGTTGGATGCTCCTAGACCCACTCATTCATAATCAGCTGAAATTCATAATCGGCTACGGGGGTCCCGTCGATTTTGAATGAAACGTTGTAGTGCCGGTAATTTTTAACCTAAACTCACAAATTTGGTACCAATCGACGCCGAATTTAATTCGCTACAGGATGATATAATATTATCCTCATACATTAAAGGGTTGCTCTACTAGAAAGATTTGCCAAAAAATTTCATTCATAATCGGCTACGACATATCTCCAAATTTAGAGTATATTTATCTATTGAAAGTATATTTTAGTAAAAAGGTCGGCTCGTCCGGGAGACGCGAACTATTAGGTTGTTCGGATATAAACAAGTGTTGCTAAACTTATTGTTGTGAGAGAAGCTTTTAAAGCTTTTAGAGAAGTCTTTCTGTATTTAATAGTGTATTATCTCTTCTCAAATTGTGCATATTTGGAATTTTTTAAACGGATAAATTTCTTATTTTTAAGATCTTTTTTTCTTGCTTTAGATGACCGACTTCAAATATATAAAGTCTGCCTACTTTACGACTTCAAACAGTTCAAATTGGGCTATGCTAAAATAAGATAGAGTCACTAATTTGGCGACTTTGGCTCGCGCCTGCCTAGATTACCGACTTCAAACTGGGCTAAAATAAGATAGAGTCACTAATTTGGCGACTTTGGCTCGCGTCTGCCTAGATTACCGACTTCAAACTGGACTAAAATAAGATAGAGTCACTAATTTGGCCACTTTGGCCAATTCTATCGTGGAATATTCATGTTTATGGCTGCATTTGTGTTGGCACCGGCATCGTCTTCTACAAAGAATTGAACTACAAAGAATTGAACTTTTTCTGCTAAGCCATATGATTTAAGAACGCCGCTAACATCTTTAGTGACTACATAACCCGTGTTTATCTGAAGTCTAAGCGTTACTACAGTGCGTTTCAAATTCTTAAACGCACCCTCTAAAATAGCGGATTTTGCATTTTGACCACCACTACAACTATTAATCTTTTTCTATTAGAAAGAGCATGTCTTAAAACCTAAATAACACGAAAAAGAAGCATACTGTAAAAAGTAAAAATTTTCAAAATAGAAACTTTTTGCTAAATCAAGCGTTTCAAATTCTTAAACGCACTCGCCTTTGCTGTTGTTATTTGAAATTTTTCGTTTTGTTGTGCATATTTTTTTATTAAATTTATAATTTTTGTTAATTTCCAGGTAAATGGCACACGGAAAGCTGCTCACGGGTTATGATAAAGGCCAGATTGATGCCCGTTTGATGATTGGCGACTCAATAAGGAAAATCGCAAAAAATTTGGGCCGATCCGACTCTGCCGTGCGAAATTATAGAAAGTCCGAGTTCGTTTCTGCACCAAACAAGAAGCCAGGACCAAAACCAAAGCTTACACCGCGAGCTAGACACCATATTGTGAACAAAATCCACGGAAAAACGATCAATGAAGTGAAAACGGGACTGAAAAGCGACGCTTCGAAGTCGACAATTTGGCGAACCGTCACGGAAAATGCACATATCGATCAACAATTATTGAACATGCAACCGGTCGTGAAGCTTTTGCACAAGAAAGCCCGATTGGAGTTCGCCAAGGCTCATAAGAATCAGGATTGATCTATGGTTAGAAAGCCGATTATTTTTATTATTTTTTTTGCGTTTAGGTGATCTTTTCCGATGAGAAGAAATGGAATTTGGATGGCCCCGATGGCGTTGGCTACTATTGGAGGATCTTCGACGTGATCCGATGGTGTTTGGAACTCGAAACTTTGACGGTGGTTCTGTGATGGTTTGGGCCGCCTTTTGTGCTGATGGAACGGTCGCTCTGAAGATGGTTTCGAATCGGATGACTAGATAGATATCTTGAACAATTGCTTGTTGCCATTTTTGCTCCTAAATCCAACCGTTCCGGACTTGTTTCAATACGACAACGCGTCAATTCATCGAGCCAGAGACACCCGAGACTGGCTCAACAGCAACAACATTGCAACTTTGGACTGGCCCGCTCAGTCTCCTGACCTCAATCCGATAGAAAATTTATGAGGAATACTTGTCCGAGCTGTCTACAAGAATCATCGTCAGTTTCAAGACATTTCTACACTTAAAGCAGCAATTTTTTCGGCCTGGAGCTATCTCGACGTCTCTGCTCTTCAAAACCTCATCAATTCAATGCCAGACCGCATTTTTCAAGTAATTAATTGTTCTGGTGCGTGTACAGATTATTAGTTTTGATTTTTAACCTTTGATTTTTAATTTGTGTCGATAAATAAAAATATTTTCATAGTGCGTTTAAGAATTTGAAACGCTTGATTTAGCAAAAAGTTTCTATTTTGAAAATTTTTACTTTTTACAGTATGCTTCTTTTTCGTGTTATTTAGGTTTTAAGACATGCTCTTTCTAATAGAAAAAGATTAATAGTTGTAGTGGTGGTCAAAATGCAAAATCCGCTATTTTAGAGGGTGCGTTTAAGAATTTGAAACGCACTGTATTAGGCACAATTTGAAAAGTTAAACCTTGCAAATTATTTAATGCCAGGATGACATCTCACTTCTTGCCATTTGCGTCAAGAAAGTAGGCAAGAGTGATGTTGTAATTCAAAGGATTTCTTACGACTTCAAACTGGGCAAAACAGTCGCGGAATCTCATTGGGATTTGGTCAAAGCATTTGGGAATGATGTATTGTCCGAAAGCCTGATTCCAACGAGCTGATTCCAAGCCTGAATGCCGAGCCTGATTCCAACGCTTTCGAAATGGTGATGAAAGTCTCGAGGATAATGAACACTCTCGTCGATCTCAAGCGGTAGACAACGATATTTTGAGGGCTGCAATCGAATCGGATCCATGTCAAACGACGCGTGAACTTGCTCAACAGTTTCTATTTTCAAATTCTACTATTGATGAGCATCTATTGATAAGGAAAAACGATGAGATGCGGGAAATGGCTTCCTCCTTCCTCACGAGTTAAGCAGTGCAAACGCTCGTTTATATTCGAACAACCTAATAGAATTATCTCAAGAATCTCTATTGATTTTTATAGGTTTTCATTGTCCAAATGAAATGGTATGGTTCCTTTTCTCTACAAATATGATTTCAACCATTTCATTTGGGTATCAATCCAATTCCAATCCAACTCCAATCCAACTCCAATCCAACTCCAATCCAACTCCAATCCAACTCCAATCCAACTCCAATCCAACTCCAATCCAACTCCAATCCAACTCCAATCCAATATCCTAATATCAAATAAAAAAAGGCAATTGATTAGCATAAAACAAGAAATAATTTTCTTTAAACGAATATTTACTTAAATGCAATCACCAACCATCGATGCCAGCGTGAAAATCCCAGACAATGTGCCAATATTTTGCCATCGAATCGTCATTTTTGCGCTTTTCCGTAAGCAAACGAAGGTTTATAATGGAACCAATTTCCAAGAGCCTCCCCAATCAATTTCCAAGAGCTTCAAAATGAGTCAGTAGCGAAATTTGTTTGGTGACATTATTGATCTGTAAATTTCCCTCTTTTCTAAACACTTTCGACTCAAACCTCTCTTTGAACTGATAACGATTTTGTGGGGGGAGAATTTTGAGCAAATCATAACGTCATTCTTGAAGAAATCTCAAGATTCTCGAGAATTTACACTAGAAAAATAGCTTTCTTTAGCTTAGTCTTTTGTTACGGTTAGAAGCATTGAATTGAACTGAATTGAACTGAATTGGAATGAATTTTGGTGGACTTTGGTGGACTTTGTGCGCAAAAATCTCGTATACATTCCCCCCTCTAGTGCATTGAAAGCTTCAATAACCTTCTAAAGAAGAATTTGAATGACGAATTGAGATATGTTTGCATAAATTTGAGTTTGCCGTAATGAGTTGCTTAAGAGAAGATTTCGAGAATTTGAACTTTTGACAAGAAGCTTCTTGGCCTAGAACTTCAAGCTTACTGCTGGATTTGGCCTAGTTTAACCTAAAACCTTGGCTTTGACTTTGTTTCTATCTGGAATTAGAGGAAATTGACTTGGCTTTGCCTTAGCTTTGCCTTAGCTTTGCTTTGGCTTTGCCTTAGCTTTGCCTTAGCTTTGCCTTAGCTTTGCTTTGGCTTTGCTTTGGCTTTGCTTTAGCTTTGCTTTAGCTTTGCCTTAGCTTTGCTTTGCCTTAGCTTTGCCTTAGCTTTGCCTTAGCTTTGCTTTGCCTTAGCTTTGCCTTAGCTTTGCCTTAGCTTTGCTTTGGCTTTGCTTTAGCTTTACTTTAGCTTTGCCTTAGCTTTGCCTTAGCTTTGCCTTAGCTTTGCTTTAGCTTGGCATAGAAAATTGGCTTTAAAAAAGCTTTTTTCATTACACAGGGTGCGTGAAAAGTTCTGTCGCGTCTCCAAGAATCATTTGTACGGCTCGAAAGACGAAAGTTAGAGAGAAACCGAGTTTAAATTTGAAAATTTTGCCTATTTTCACCCATGAAATAGTTCTTTATAAAAAGATTTTTATTTTGAAAATCTGTTTTTTTTTTGTGTGCTGAACACCGACGGCTTTCCTAGGTTCTTTGAGTGCTTAAAAGTGACGACCTCGTAACCAATCTGGCTAATTTTAATGAATTCCGCAAAGTAATCGAGCCAAAAAAAGACTTTCGAAATAAAAGATAAAATAAAAGGATTTTTAAGGTAAAAATAGTGAAAGATTTCAAATTTGATGCTCGTTTTTCTCTATTTTATTCGACTTTTTATTTTCTAAAGAAACGATCTTTGAAGTGAGGACAGAACTTTTCAACTTATCCTTAGTATGAGCTGGGAATTTGCTCTTAAAACCAGGCCTAACTTTGACTGGCTTTAGCAATTGAATGATTGATTAAACGAGGTCAAAAACTCAAAGTCACCAAGAGATTTTTGTTCTTATCTAAGTAAAATAGGTTAAAATAGAATTCCAAATGGTTCTCGATAAAGCTACGGAAACTTCTCGTCTCTAGCGCCAATCTGGCGCTTTGGCCAATCTTGCGCTTTAGCCAATCTTGCGCTTTAGCCAATCTTGCGCTTTAGCCAATCTGGCGCTTTGGTCAATCTTGCGCTTTAGCCAATCTGACGCTTTGATTAATCTTGCGCTTTGACTAATCTGGCGCTTTAGCCAATCTTGCGCTTTAGCCAATCTGGCTAAGTTTGTCTGTTTCTATGCGCATTTTTCCGTCTTTTTTTTTCATACTTTCATTCATTTTTCTTCTTTATTATATCACTTTTTCCTATAAATTTCTTTTTTTTTCAATTTTTTCATCACTGAGCTCTCTTAATCGATCACAAATTTAAAAATCTACAAAATGAACATAAATTTGAGATCATATCTACCCAAAAGATGACTAAATATCTAAAAATTAAAATAGAATTAAGAAAGAAAGAAAATCAAAGAAAAAAAATGAGGCACAATAGAGTAAAACACACAAAAAAAGATGTGTTTTACATTTGTAAATCGGCAGGAGAATTTCGGGGTTTTGAAAGAATTTTTTGCAATTTTTCGTTTTCATATCGGCAAGATATTTAAAAATATTATATGACACTAGAAAAAGGAGTACGGTAGAGGGGAAAAGGAGTACGGTAGAAAAGAAGGAGTACGGTAGAAAAGGAAAAGGAGTACGGTAGAAGGGAAAAAGAAGTACGGTAGATAAGGAAAAGGAGTACGGTAGAAGGGAAAAGGAGTACAAATAAAAGGAGTACGGTAGAAAAGGAAAAGGAGTACGGTAGATAAGGAAAAGGAGTACGGTAGAAGGGAAAAGGAGTACAAATAAAAGGAGTACGGTAGATAAGGAAAAGGAGTACGGTAGATAAGAAAAAGGAGTACAGTAGATAAGAAAAAGGAGTACAAATAAAAGGAGTACGGTAGAAAAGCATTACGGTAGCATTACGGGAGCTTGGGAAACATTTGCAATCTACTCGTGCTGAAACGGTTACGGTAGATTGGGGCAAGTGTTTTAGCTCTTGTCAACTGAAAGACGGTTACAGTATGACAACGTTGTCCTTGGTCATTTGAAAAAAAGAGTACGGTAGAGGCATCTTTTAGCTTCCACCACTACTGACAAATACATGAATCGAAAAGCTTTTAAAGTACGGTAACATTAACGTACTGTAACCTGGGCAATTTTTAGCCTAAATCCGAACCGTACCGTAGCCATACCGTTGCAATAAAGCTTACAAATAGCATAAATATTCAACTAATGATATCAAAGCTCGTCTGATTTGAATGGCCTCATTTGAACGGCCTCATTTGAATGGCCTCATTTGAATGGTCTCATTTGAATGGTCTCATCTGAACGGCTCTCGTTCGTTGATAGTCGTATTTCGTTTCGGTGATTCGTTGCTGAATCGGCGTTGAGCCAGTGGTGGGACGGCTGCGTTGCTCGGCTCTGAAAAATGATAATTTCTAATTTGACTTTGCTTCACTTAAAAGCTACTAGTTAAAACCTACTAGATAAAGCCTACTAATTAAAACCTACTAGTTTAAACCTACTAGATAAAGCCTACTAGTTAAAGCCTACTAGTTAAAAACTACTAGTTAAAAACTACTAGTTAAAACCTACTAGTTAAAGCCTACTAGTTAAAAGCTACTAGTTAAAAACTACTAGATAAAGCCTACTAGTTAAAATCTACTAGTTAAAGGCTACTAGTTAAAGGCTACTAGTTAAACGCTACTAGTTAAAAGCTACTAGTTAAAAGCTACTAGTTAAAGCCTACTAGTTAAAAGCTACTAGTTAAAAACTACTAGTAGGCTTAGCTACTTAAAAGCTTATATCTAATAAGGAAAAGGCACAAAAGTTAAGCAAAAAAATCAAAAAACAGATTTTCGGACACTAAAGCTCAGACTTTATATGATGGACTTGATCTCGAGTCAAAAGGCCAGCTTGAGTGGCCAGCTCCAGTGCCTTTCCCTTATAATAAAGTGGACTGTAGCTATAATTGGCTTGACCTTGGGTTGTCCTAGAAAATGAGCACAAGAAAATCATTCCGCTAATCTGACCTCCTCCTTCTCTCAGCTTCCAACTGTTCCCTGAGCAATCCGAGCTGTGATTCGAGAAGTTTCCTCTTATGAGCATAGTTCATCTCTTTTTGCTCCAAAAGTAACTCTAACTGAAATTTTTCAATTTACAACTATAATTTGCATAATTTTAAGTACAAAAAAATGGAATCTCCTATCCTACAGGGTGACCGCGAATTCATAGGAAGCGAAGGAAGCGGTTTGCCAAGAGTGGGACTCGAAATCGTGAGTAAGAATGAAAAAATAGATTCGATAGCCTAGCAGACTATCCACTAGACCATTCGAGATCGTTCAGCGACTGAGTTCGAGATAGTTCAGCCACTGAGTTCGAGATAGTTCAGCCACTGAGTTCGAGATGGTTCAGCGACTGAGTTCGAGATAGTTCAGCGACTGAGTTCGAGTTAGTTCAGCCACTGAGTTCGAGATGGTTCAGCGACTGAGTTCGAGATAGTTCAGCGACTGAGTTCGAGATAGTTCAGCGACTGAGTTCGAGATAGTTCAGCCACTGAGTTCGAGATCGTTCAGCGACTCATTTCTAAAGGTCTAGCTCAAAGAAAAACCTTAAATTCAGTTTTCCGTTTTCGCTACGCGACTCTCAACTTTGTAAAGTCAAAAGTCAAACAACTTTGTAAAATAAAGATTCCAGGAGCACCAATGTTAGAAAACAAGTTAGAAAATTGACTTGGGCTACAGAAGAAAGACTCGAAAATCACCTCCAAAAATTTCAAAGATTGGCCAAAGCGCAAGATTGGCTAAAACGCAAGATTGGCTAAAGCGCCAGATTGGCCAAAGCCTCAGATTGGCGCTAGAGACGAGAAGTTTCGGTAGCTTTAGCTTTCCGTAGAATCATTTGGAATTCGATTTTAACCTATTCATGAAATTCTCGTTGAGCTAGACCCACAGAAATGAGTCGCTAGAATTCGTGGTCACCCTGTAGTTTTACCCTCACTCACTTGTCTCTTTTCTTGCAACATTTTCCCAAGCCTTGCCTCCAATTCGGCGTGCTCTTTCAGCATTTTCGTCACTGATTTCGTGCCAGTATCCCGTTCTAATTGTTGGATCTAAAAGAGTATTCTAAATTTTGACGAAATCTGATAGCCAACCTGTGTCTGCAGTTGTGTGCAATTCCTGTACAACTCTGAGTTCTCTTTCTCCATTGCCGCCAAACTTTTGTCCATGGCTCTCCTCTCAGCCAATGTGTTCTTGACGGCTTCCTCGGTTCGACTCTTGTCTTCTTCAAGCTGAAACACAAGCGATAAGAGAGCTGGGTAAGCTCACCTTACCCAGCTCTCCTTACCCAGCTCTCCTTACCCAGCTCTGCTTACCCAGCTCTCCTTACCCAGCTCTGCTTACCCAGCTCTCCTTATCGAGCTCTGCTTACCGAGCTAGACCCATACCACATTGAAAACACGGGATCTCGTCCGATCTGTCAAGTTAGGCAACAAGTTTGGTTCGGTTTGACAGCCTTTCACAGCCTTAGATCAAAGACGACTTAGGAATCTCGAGCTTTCTTTTTAAGATTTTTACATTTTTGTGAATCACAGACAATTATTAAAACTAACCATTAGTTTCTTTTAGATTCAAGCATTGAAAAGGCTTAGGCTTCAAAAGGCTTAGGCTCCTAATTGAAAAAGAAACTGATAAACTTTCATTGAACAGCTTTTAGAGTTAGTTGGCTATTTTCAGAACTCACAGAATCAAGGTGTTTCTTGAGTGCGGCGACTTCTCTCTCAAGCCTCGCTCTGGCCGCCTCGATCTCTCGTCGTTCCACATCGAAACGCGCGATTCGTCGTTTCAACTAAATATCTATTTTTTTCGATAATAAATCATCATTTTACCTCTTCAATCTCGCTAATATTGGCCAATTTCTCTTTCCTCAATCCTTTCAATTCATCTCGCAACTCACGCTCGACTTTTTGCCATTCAGTCTCGAGCTAAAAATTGGGAATTTTGAAAATGAATAACTTTTTGAGTAAGCCATGCGTTGGCTAGTCAAAAAAAGCATTGCCATGCTTATTAGATTCAAATTGAAATTGAAAAAGAAGCCAATTCTAGTATAATGCATTACAATTCTAATAATTTTCTTGAAAATTTGGATGCTGTAGGCGTAACAAAGGTAGAACCAGGTTCAAGTCTTGTCCTGGGCTTCCCTGATGTGCTTTTCTGAGGAAAAAATCGTTTTAGGGTAATACCAAGACTAAAAGACAAGTTTAGAACTGGTTCTGGACTGGGCTTTAGTGTGCGAAAATCTTTTTTGGAAAATCTTGAGCAGACACAGCACAGCGACACAGCAGACTTCACAATCACACCACTGCACACTTGTTCATCTCAATCTTCATCTCCATCAAGCCATTCATCTTGTCATTCATCAAGCCATTCATCTTGTCATTCATCAAGCCATTCATCTTGCCATTCAGCTTGTCATCCATCAAGTCATCCATCTTGCCATTCATCAGCCCATCCATCAAGCCATTCATCTTGTCATTCATCAAGCCATTCATCTTGCCATTCAGCTTGTCATCCATCAAGTCATCCATCTTGCCATTCATCAGCCCATCCATCAAGCCATTCATCTTGTCATTCATCTTGTCATTCATCTTGCCATCCATCGATACCTCTTTTTCACCAACACGGCATTTTCCTTTTTGGCCAGAATTCGTAAAGAAGAAAACCGAGTAGCGTTGCGATGATTGCGAAAAGGAAAGGACGAATCGAGATCCGATACACGAAACTCGGATTACGGTAGTCCGGATGCTGGATAGGTAAATGAACTTAGAAATTTGTGCATAGTAAATATCGATTTGCATATGGTAGTTACTATCGAGTAGTTAAAGACTTTGTTATTGTATATGTTGCAGCCGTTCGTGATTTTCAGCCGCTAGTGAATCAGTCACCAACGGCTAGACGCTAGTGATTCAGTCACCAACGGCTAGACGCTACTGATTCAATCACCATCGGCTAGTCGATGGTGATTGGAAGTTTTTTAACGAAACATTTGAAATGCAATGCAGATTTATCACAAATGCAAATAAAAAAGTTCGGTTAATCGGACCAAATATTTTAGCACTTCGGGAGGTAACTTCTGTTGCCAAATTCGAAAAATTATGTCATCGTATTGATGAGAAAATTAGTCAACGCTATCGACTAGCCGATGGTGATTCACTAGCAGCTAGCCGATGGTGATTGAATCACTAGCGACTGAAAATCACGAGCGACTGCAACATATAAAAATTTTGAAGATTCATTTGAGTCTAGCTTTTCTCTGGTTGTCTGATTGTCTGATTTATGATTGACTAGTAGTCTAGGTGCTAGATAGTGTTTGAACTTTGAAGGAAAAACTGTGCCATCGTCTCGACTTCTCAAAAACAAAAAACCCAACAAAGTGACCGATTATGATAGTCTAAATCATTTAGTTTTTTACTGTAAAAGAGAAATTTTTTTCATTTTCCTAATCCCTGACACGAACCTTTTGCATAGCTTGCAACGTTTTCTCAACATTTTTTCTCTTTTGTCCTTCATCCTCTAATCGATTCTCCGTCTCTCGTAAACGATTCGCTCCCGTGTTCACTTTGTTCACCGAATCTTTCAGTTCTTGTCTAAATAAGAGGTTTTTTAATTATCGATTTTTTTTATAAACTCGGATTGTTTAAAAGAACAGAATAGCCCATAATTATAGTTGCAGAGTGATATTATCTATTATTAATTAACTAAATTATTAACTAATTAAATTATTAATTAAATAAATTATTAATTAACTAAATTATTAACTAACTAAATTATTAACTAACTAATTAACTAAATTAATAAATTAATAACTAATTAACTAAATTAATAACTAACTAAATTATTAACTAACTAAATTATTAGCTAATTAAATTATTAATTAACTAAATTATTAACTAAATAAATTATTAACTAACTAAGTTATTAACTAAATAAATTATTAATTAACTAAATTATTAATTAACTAAATTAATAACTAACTAAATTATTAATTAACTAAATTATTAACTAAATAAATTCTTAACTAACTAAATTATTAATTAACTAAATTCAACACTAATCTATTATTATTCTCGATGAGTACAAAAGCATTTTAAAAATCAAATTTAAACATAACAACAAGCCAACAGCTCCGGCCCATAAAGACAAGAAAGTTCAAGATTTTTGTAAAGTGAAGTTTCTTGATTTCATCTCTTTTTCTGAATCTTTCACCCAGCTCGCTAAATCTCAATCCGATCGATTATTCTGTCTGATTGATTCTTAAGGATCTACTCAAAACCTTCTCAAAGCCGTCTAAAAATGTTTAAAGTTTAAAGAAAAGTTTTCTGAAAGCATGATGCTTCCTTCTCTCTTTCTTCCTTTTTGATTGCGCACCTTTTTTGCGCACCTTGCCCATTAGCGCACCTTTTTTCGCGTTTTAAACAAGCTCTAAAAAACTAATATTAACCAATTTCTATTTCAAAAGTTGTTTTTCTAGGTAATTCAAAGGTTTTCTAGGTTTTTCTAGGTGTCGAATTCAAATTTTGACATATCAGAGCTTGTGGAACCAATTTGAAGGACAAAACCGGCTAGATCAAATTACAGAAAATTTTCGATCTTTCTCTTTGTATAACTCCGTCCGTTTGTTTCCACGAGCTCTGATATGTCAAAATTTCGATTCTACGCCCTAAAATTACCTAGAAAAACAACTTTTGGAATAGAAATTGGTTAATTGGTTAATATTAGCTTTTTAGAGCTTTTTTTAAAACGCGACAAAAAGGTGCGCTAATGGGCAAGGTGCGGAAAAAAAAGGTGCGCAAATGTCCGGGTGCGCAAAAAAAAAAAGGTCGCATTTGTCCCACCGCCCTACTTTCAAACATTTTTATCTGCATACAATTATAGGCTATTTTGTTTAGTTTTTATATTTAACGTTGCGTTCGATAAGAATCATCGTCGATTATTTCACCTTAAACGATCCGTCAACGCTTGCAATTGCTCGTGTGCAGTGTGCAAAGTGTCATAAGTTCGTTGCAGATTCGAAAGTCTTTCCTCGTAGATCGATCGATGGTACTCTTCGCTTGTCTTTTTCGCTGCAACAGCCTATAATTTACTGATCATTTGTGTACTAAGGAAGCTTTCAAATTGTCTAAAATTTGAACTTAGAATTCAGAGACTATAAAGTCGTGAGCACTGATCCGGACCAAGCCACGGTCAGACTAAAGCTGGTAAAATGAGCCAGTTTGGCTGGCCAGTAAGTAAGATCAACCAGATCGGCTAGCCTTTTTGCCAGGGCTTTCAAAGTCTCAGAACTGGGTCTGGCTTTAGGTATTCTATGCTGTTCGTTTCTCTCCCGCTACGTAGTATTCTATGCTGTTCGTTTAATCTTTTACTTTTTCCATTTCGAATCCATACCGTATTCCTCCAATGCCTTTCCTCAGCTTGTGCTCTCTCGACGATTTCTCGTCTTTTCTCTTCATTCCTTCGCATTTCCTCCATTTGTCGTCTCTGTTGTTCGTTCACCGAATCAATTTCAGAAAGTTGTTTGCGAAGATTCTAAAATTACATCTCATTTATGTTTCATATTTCATTACAAATAACATAACGTAAATACTCTAATAGACCGCCAAAATGACTAGTGTACAGTCGCGTAGTCTAACTTTGAACGTCTCATTCTCCGCACTGCTTTAAGCTAGAGTGTGCTACATGGTGTCAAATGATAGCCCTTGAAATCTAGTATTTTTTGGTACCAAAAGTGTAGATGAGTGGAATCTAGGGAAAGAGAAAAATGCAAAAAAAAAGAAAAGAAGCTAGACAACTCGACTTTACGAGGCAATGGCGTTCTATTCGAGTATTTACTTTTATTTATTTATCGAAAATATATTCATTTCATTTTACTTAAAGCTATAAAATCATTATCTTAATATCTTTCCAACAAACCGTGATATCCTGTTGCAAATTGTCGAACTGAAGAGTTAAACGACTTCGCTCGAGGTCACCCTAAAGATAAGATCGAAGATTTAAAAAAAAAACTCAGATTTATCTTATATCTACTGAAGAAGATAGACTAATCAACTTTAACTAATCAACTATCAACTAAAAGCTGATGGAAGTTGGAGAATGTTACAACAAATCATCAATGCTTTCAAGGAAAAGGTCGGATAAACTATTGAGTATTGGGTTGATGAATTGAAAAATGCGAGACTTTGAACTAAAATTTATTCAATAGAAAACCATAAATTCATTCGAAATAATTTCCATTATTATTGACGACTTCTGCCTATTTTACAGGCAATTTGCGGATTCCTCTTTCGTGATAGGATTTTGGTTTGTGTGTGAGACAAGTGTGACACTCAAAAATGGAGAACTGGAGCAGTTTGAGTTTTCCCAGTTTGAGCACTTTCTTCAAAAGAAACCCATTTTGGTGTCAATGGAAAAGTTGTAGAAAATCAAAAATTAGGCTTATAGCCAAATTTCCAAAAAGATACGCTCAATAGTTTGGCTTAAAATGCAAGTTTTGTGAAAATTCGTAAATTTGGCATATCTTGAAAACCAGTTTTTGAATCGTTCTCAAAATTTGGATAAGCTTCATTTTTGATTCTCTACAACTTTTCCATTGACACCAAAATGGGTTTCTTTTGAAGAAAGTGCTCAAACTGTCACATATGACAATAGCCGGCAGTTTTCAATTCACCAAACCAATAGATTGAGAGTAGCCTTGATTTGAGGAGAAGTCAATGCCCAATTTGAGGATTCGGAGCCGGGCCAGATTAGTTTGGCAAAGGGAGAGGGAAGGGGGTTATGTAAAAGCCCTGCGCCAGACGACGAGCGATTACGCAGCCGCACAAAGAACACACAGATTTTAAGCGAAACTACTAAGTGCATCTTTTTGGAAATTTGGCTATAAGCCTAATTTTTGATTTTCTACAACTTTTCCATTGACACCAAAATGGGTTTCTTTTGAAGAAAGTGCTCAAACGGGCACATCTCCAGTCCTCCATTTTTGGAGGACTAGATTCTAGATTCTAGACTCTAGATTCACAAAACTTGCATTTTAAGCGAAACTATTGAGCGTATCTTTTTGGAAATTTGGATATAAGCCTAATTTTTGATTCTCTACAGCTTTTCTATTGACACCAAAATGGGTTTCTTTTGAAGAAAGTGCTCAAACTGTCACAAAATAACAATAGGCGGCAGTTTTCAATTCACCAAACTAATAGATTTGTAAAAATTGAATAAATTTCCACCTTATCCCGATCTTCTTCCACATCTTTTAACTCTTTCTCCAAGCTGAGTACTCGGAAATCGATTTTTCGCCTCTCTTCACCCAGTTCCAATAAATCCATCTTCTGAGAATCGATTTGAGCCTAAATTTGCATGAAATAACTTCAAAAATTAGCAAAATAAGTACGAAAATTGACGAATTCTATGAATAAGCTCAAAAGTTAAAGTCAAAATTGTCTAGAAAACCTAGAAAAAGTGCCTCTAAAGGTTGGACATGTTTACTTTGAAAACGACTTAAAACCAACGAAAACGACGCGCACTTTTCTAGTGCACTCTTCTTCAAAAAAAGAAATGAAGAAAGTTTGCCAGAAAGGATATGTTTATAAGTCTCCATAAAAGTTTAAAAGTCTAAGCTAATACTCACCGCTAATTGTTGAATTTTACTCTCCTTTTCACGCACATGCAACTCAGCCGACATCAACTTTGCTTTAAGGTTTCTGAAAGAAAAAATTTTTCAAATTTTAAGTTAAAGTTACTCAAAAAAAGATTCTAAATACTTTTATGTAGATCTTATTTTATTTATTTCTTATTTCTTTCTTATTCATTTCTTATTTCTTTCTTATTTAACAACGAAATCCTCACCGGAACTCATTCTCTCGACTCCGCATCGCCTCCTCGTTACTCAAATAGATTTGGCGCTGATTGTTCAATCGACTCTCAAGCGATTTCTTTTCTAAAAAAAAAAAAAAAAGAAAATAGATGAATCTAAGATATACAATATGCTATTAATGATTATTTCTAAATTTTTGAAATAGAAATGAATTTGACAATCGATAACTATTAGACTTAAGAAAGTCTTTTCGTTCATTTTCGTACTTCTATTTAAATTTTCTACGTACTTTCTACGATTAATTATCCATTTCCTCTATTTCACTTACCCGTCTCGATTTGTTCGGTTTTTCTTTGCAATGAGTCCAACAATTGTGTCACCTCCTCGAGTCGTCGTCGATTTTTCTTCTCATTTTCTTTTGTTTCATGCAATGTTGAGATCATCGTAAGCTTTTCTCTGAAAACAATCAAAAATTTAGCGAATATTTTCCCCCAAAACAAACGTTTCCAAGTGTTCAATTCGTTCTTTCAGATAACGAATCGTGATGTCGACCGATGGAGTGACGCCAAGATTTCTCAACTTTGAATCAGCTGACTCGTCGAAGTGAACCTAAAGAAAATCGAATTTCTAGATTTCTTTAATTGAAATTATTATTCTCAACTATTAGTAGTGCACCCTAAATTCCTCGAAATCTCGAGAACCGCGTATCAGAACCTATCTGGTAAGCGGTTCTCGATGTGGGGTCGGAAAATTTAGCTAAACGATGAGAGCTAGTTGGTTTTTAAAGTGCTGGGCTTCTGCAAAAGCTTGGAAACCGTAAAATATCGACGTTTTTTTCGCCGAGTAACTACGAGTAATCCTCACACCTTTCCCAAGTGTGCTTTTTAAAAAACGCATTACTCGCGAGGAACACACTCTACCGTTAAGTGTTCAGGGTAGACTTTCTTTGCATTCGCTCAGTTCAGAGTTCAGTTCAGAGTTCAGATTCGATAAATACCGTATTTTCTCTAGTACACCCTAAGCTTCGTTTAAATTCCTCAAAATCTCGAGAACCGCTTATCAGAACCTATCGATGTGAGGTCGAAAAATGTAGCTAAACGATGAGATCTAGTGGGGGGGATTTGAGTGGAGTTTCTGTGAAAGCTTGGAAACCGTAAAATAATCATCAACTCGACTCGGCGGGGTGCACTACTATTAGAGAGAATATGCATTGAATCAATAGAATTGAGATGGAAGTGGGGTCAGAAAATGTAGCTGACGATAAGATCTAGTTGGTTGTTAAAGTGATCTTATGATGTTGCCTTATCTTGCCAGCGTGATTGAACCCTCGACCTTCCGCTTAAGAGACAAAACTCCTTAACCAATCGACCAGCTGGCCAAGTACCGTATTTTCTCTAATAGTAGTGCATCCTTCGTCTAAATTCCTCAAAATCTCGAAAATCGCTTATCAGAACCTATCGATGTGAGGTCGAAAAATGTAGCTAAACGATGAGATCTAGTGGGGGGGATTTGAGTGGAGTTTCTGTGAAAGCTTGGAAACTAAAATAATCATCAACTCGGCTCATTACTATTAGAAAAATACGGTAAACGATTTATTTTTCAATTCGCTCACCGATCTCTCAACTGATATGCTCGATGAGACATCATGCGTCGAGACACTTCCACGAAGATTTGGGATATTCATTTGAATGCCAGGAAGGGAACCGTCTGAAAGTGTGTTTTTGTGTGTGTTAAAACTTTCATTTCAAGAAAAGGATCAAGAAAAGGAAACTTTTGAAAACTCACAAGGCGAATCGGGATCATGAATGAGATCCGATGAGTGACCCGACCGAATCGGAAGTCCTTCTAAAGCTAGTATAAATGATGGTAGAGTGCTGATATGCAATAACTCGGGTTTAGAATTCCGAGATTTCCAGCAGATCTTGAGCTTACTATAGTCATAAATTAATTATCTATGAACCATGACGAGTCAGCAGTTCACGAACATGTTAAGATCTCTACTAGACATAGGAAAATTTCAATCCAACCCAAATTCCACCTTCGTTTTCTCAGCCGTTTCTTGTTCGAATGCTCTCAAATTTTGTCTACAGATAGAAAACAATCTTTTCAGCTTGTAGACAAAATTTTAGAGCAATCAGCCAAGAAGCGGCCGAGAAAACGAAGGTGGAAATAGGTTTGTGTTGGAATTTTCCCTTTTTCCTAATTTTCGCTAAAAGTACGATAATTTTTCCCAAGTGTGCGTTTTAAAAAAAACGCATTACTCGCGAGGAATACACTCTATTGAAAGTTGTCTATGTTGTTGACTATTTGTACGCGATTTAAAGGCTATGATAAGCTATGAGCCATATATTAGGTTGATGCAAAAGTCTTTTTCATTTTTTTCGTACTTCCGTTAAAAAGTAACAAATGCACCAATTGAACAACGGTTTATTGCATTCGAAAGGCCAATTATTTTTCTGCAAAATGACATTAAAACGAGTTTAAAATGTCTTATGTCGAGATTTTTTTGAGAGCCTGAAGTCGGGTAGTCAAAAAAGGCGACGGCTCGATGATGCATTTTAGACGCTTTAGCTAAGGAAACCAATCTTGATGTTAATAAATAAAAGATAGAGCACAAAAAGTTTGATATTTTTTCAGATTTTCAGAGAAATTCATTCAGCCAATTTCTTTATAGAGGTTTTTATAGATTTTTATGAAAAACCCGTTTTCACTCTCGAATTTGCTTGAAAGTGTACCCAAATTGACTTAAAAAGATGGGAAATTGAACAATAAACACTTTTCATTTAGAGCAAACCATAGGTTAATTGATGACTTTGTTATTTTTCAAAAGAAGTACGAAAAAAATGAAAAAGACTTTTGCATCAACCTAATAGAAAAAAAAAGCTATGATCTATGTGTTCCTTATCAGTAGTTTTAAGCATCATTTTATTAAGGTTTTCATTTTAATCAAAAAAAAAATTTAGTTGAAATAGCTTTCCTCAATCATTTTCCTCAAATCAAGTTTTCGCAAAAAAAGTTTTACGAGAACTTTTTTTTTTTTTGCATCACTCTGCAGAGCTTTTTACTTAAGCTTTTTCTGCCAGATCCTGTTCTTTTTTTTTTTTTTCAAAATATTTAAAAGCTTTAAAAACTAAGGTAATCGATTTTCAAATTTCCTTTTTCCACAACTCACTCGATCCAGTACCCATAATGGCCATCGCAGCGCTTCTCTCGTATTGATTTGCCCGTGCCGCTAGCTCGTCTCTCCGTTTTTCAATCTAAAAATTATCTTTTTTTTTTTTAAAAATATTCATTAATATTAATATAATAATATAATATAAAATTAATATAATAAATAAAATAATATTTTTTATTATTGCATTTCAAACGTTCACTCACCTCGCTGACTTGTGCCTCTAAATCGATCCTTTTGCGATCGGCTCGTTCGAGTTTTGCTCTAAAATTGGTGTCCTTTTGAAAATATAGTCTAAGTATAAAATGCAAATTTTACCACTTTACTTGTTTTGTTTAAAAACTTACTGTAGCCCGAGGACAGTGGCTTTCAACTGATCCGATTCCACCTGATGGTCATGTGCTTTTCGCTCGGCCTAAAAGGAATCAAAAACTTTAAAATAGAAACTAGAATATAGAAATATTAACTAAAAAAAAATAAATCTAGATTACTTCTTTATAATTATCCAGCAAATCAGTGATGGCACGCTGTGATTGCTGGGTTTTTCTTTCCAAATTGCTCTTCAGTAAACCCAATTCCTCAGACAATTTCACGTTGCTCATTTTGAGCTCCTCGTTTCGTCGACGATAATGAGTGACCTGGGAATGAGATTTGAGAAATGGTCTTAATGAGAAAATTGTAGCAAAACTACAAGCACTTGTTAATTGTGTGTGTGAGAAGCTTGTTCTCTTCTGTCTGTTCTCTTCTGTCTGTCTGTTCTGTCTGTCTGTTCTGTTCTGACCGTTCTGTTCTGTCTGTTCTGTCTGTCTGTTCTGTCTGTCTGTTCTGTCTGTCTGTTCTGACCGTTCTGTTCTGTCTGTTCTGTCTGTATGTTCTGTCTGTCTGTTCTGTCTGTCTGTTCTGTCTGTTCTGTCTATTCTCTTCTGTCTCTTCTGTTCTGTTCTCTGTTCTAAATTCTCTCAAAATAGTCAAAAACCTTTTCGGCATCTTCTTTCAACTCGGTCATCATATGTTTCTCGGTGTTTTCCAGCTTTTTCAGCAAATCGGTCGTTGATTCGAGTTTCGCCGTCTTGTCAGCCAATTGCAATTCGAGAGCTTGCAACTGGAAATTTCTAATTAACAATGACCCCAGCTTGCCACCGCCGAAAACGTCCAAAGAGAATTTATTTATTGAAATATAGAAGGAGAAATGAAAAGAAACAAAATATATTCGCATTAGTTTCATTAAAATCAAAAAAGCAAGAAAAATTGCGAGGCGAGTACTCGAACCCGAGAGAAAAATGGACAGCTCGCTTTGTATACAAGCACCTTATCCACTAGGCCACCAGCTCATACTTCGGTGGTGCGAAGAAAAGCCTTTTAAGCGGCATTTTTGATCAGCTTAGTTGTTTCTATAACTTCTCTTTGGGCGCTTGGCGATCAGCGGTGGAGAGCTGGGATAGTTCCCTTGTAAGTAGGTAGATTGGAGGGAACTTTTACGAGACACACGATAATCTTTCCTTTCTTTTACAAACCTTATTTTGTGTGATGGTCCTTGCCTCGATTGCCTCATCAGCTTCTTCTCTTCTGTGATCGGCTTCGATCTGCCGCGCGTGCACTTCTTTTTGGAGTTCTCGAGAGCGTTGCTCCAATTCTGAACAATTTCAAATAGAAAAATCTTTTCAGCTTTCCAAGGATGCTGAACATTTTTTTCTTTCTTTAAAATTTTTCAAACCTTCACATCTCAAATTTCGATCAGCAACTTGTTGTTGAGCTCGATCGACGGCATGCCGAAGCTCAGAGGCCTAAAATTTCAAGTGCTAAAACTGATAAAACTGATAGAACTGGTAGAACTGCTAGAACTGGTAGAACTACTAGAACTACTAGAACTACTAGAACTACTAGAACTACTAGAACTGCTAGAACTGCTAAAACTTTAAGTGTCAAAAAGATTTCAAACGAAACCTCTCTCGTGAAGAGCGCTAATTCATCTCTGAGGGAATTCTCGTTCACTTCAGCTTCGGCCACTCTCGATGTCATCTCATCGAGTTGCGCTTCGAGTGAGGCAATCGATTGGGATTCTTGAAAATGATTAATGTTACTTCGGGGTCAAAGATTGCGGTAGTCAAGTTAAAGCGGCTAATGTTTTGCAGCAGTTACGTTTTTCACTCACTTTTCGCGATCACTTCCATTAGTCTCTCCTTTTCCGCATCAATCGTTTCCCTTTTCCTATCCATTTCATCGATTTGCGTTTGTGATTTCGCCAATCGTAACTCGTGTTCCTCGATCTGAAATGAGAAAAGCATTTTGGGAATATTTTGAGGGAAATTTTGAATTTTCACCTTTCCGGAAGTGTTTTTTTTTGGGTTTTTTTATTTCAGAAACAAAGTGCAGTCAGGGGAAAAATGGAGGAAAAAGGAGGAGAAGAAAGCGCAAATTTTTGAAGAAAATCAACGAATTGAACTTGGTTTCGTTGTTCGAGATGTTTTTGAGATCAAAAAAAAAACGCTGAGCTACAGAATTTAACAACCACAAGTACAGTACTAAAAAAAGGTTAATGCCATTGCTTGTAACGAAAACATTTGTCCGTCCTTTTTTGCCGTTGTTAATCTAAGATTTTTCGTGTTTTTCTCGGCACTCAAACCCTTCGATTTTGACTATTTTGACTATGATTCGATGAAGAATAAAATCGAATGATCGTATCGAATGATACCAAAATTAACTCAAAATCCAATATCCACGCAAAGCTGTTGGCTAAAAACCTAAACCAGCCGATTATGGGTGGGACTTAACCTTTTGCCAATGGCAATTTACAGTTTTTCTTCTATTTCTCAGCATAAACCCTTCGATTTTGACGATTTTGACTGATTTTAGTGTATCATTCGATGAAGAATAAAATAGCGTATCGAATGATACTAAAATCAAACTCAAAATCTAATATCCATGCAAAGTTATGAGGCAAAAGGTTAAGCCCCGCCCATAATGGGCGAGGATTTAGGTTTTTTGCCAATAACTTTACATGGATATTAGATTTTGAGTTGATTTTAGTATCATTCGATGCTCAATTTTATTCTGCATCGAATGATAGTCAAAAATAGTCAAAATCGAAAGGTTGGTCTTAAGAAAAATCTTAAATTGGTGGCAACGGTAAAACCGACAAATGTTTTTGTTACAAGTTTACCGTATACGGATAAGGGGTAAACAAGTTGATTCCGAGTTTTTACCTCGATCGTCTCTGTAATCGTTTCATAGTAGTCGTAAGTTTCTCGATGCTTTTCGTAGATTGAGAAATTCGGGATCGCAATTGGTGAGCCGTGAACATGGTCGCCGATGAGTTGATGAGTGAATGATGGAGACTACAAAACACAACACTTTACATTCAACAGAGTTACAATTGAAATGAAAACAATCACCCTACTCTTGTGCTTTTTTTTTAAAAAGTCAACTTGTACCGTAATCCGGTTGATGGAAATGACAGGGTACAGTTACTTTTCGAAAACACTAAAACACAATTGACTTACGACACAGTTACAGTTAATCTAAGGTAATGTACTAAGAGTTATCGTAATCCCATTTGATAAAAGTACTCCAGTAATCCATTTTTCACATAAAAACACAAAAAAAACCTTTGCTTGGAGTTGCTTCCGTTCAAAATCTAACTGTTGCTCAAGTTGAGAGATGAGTTGACTAAAAGGATTTAAGATCAAAAAATATTCAACTAACATATCTACAGTACTACCGTATTCTAAAGACTACTGTAGCCTGAAAGTTTTTTTTAATGAAACTTTCAATCTCACTTGAGTCTTTCCATTTCGTCTTGGCGAATCTCGATGGCTTTGCTTGCTTTCTCCGCCTCCTCCTTTGCCTCGCCCAAATCTTTGCCCAATTTTTCTTCTAAATTTGAAAAATTTGCATATCTTAATATATTTTATGGATCTATGTGATATCCAAAATCTAAATTTTTGCATAAAAATACCCCTTTCTTGTGCCTCATTCAGCTCTTTCTCCACCCGTTTCAGCTCGTTTTTCACCTCGTCGAGCGCTTGCACCCGGCGATTCTCATCCTATAAACAAAAAAAAATGTTATCTGGGTCAATATATATCCTAGATAAACTGTATTGTATTCAAGATATATCAATTTTCATATTTTTTCAATCCCCACCTGTGCCCGAACTTCCTCGAACTCGTCCCGGTCGACGGCGATTTGCTCTTCGAGTTCCTGGAATTAATATCAAAATAAAAAGCTAAGCCAAAAAAAGCCCATAAATGTTTATTTAAATAAGTTTTAAATAAGTGAATATTTTAATAACTCTAAGAATCTCTCTAGCAATAAGTTGCATAAAATTTATCTATTTAAGAAAAGTACCGTAGTTAAACCGTTAGTTTACACTTAATCCATCCGATTTTTGTATGATTCGATGGGGAATTACAATACTCAGTGAATGATATCAAAATCGGGTTGGTTGAATGTAAACTAACGACTTGACTACGGTACTTTTCTTAAATAGATGGATTTTAGAAAGAGTATTACTCAAGAGGAACACACACACACACACACACTCTAGTCTCTAGAAGATCCAGAGATTTAAATAACTGACTATTTTAAATATCTAAGAATCTCTCTAGCAGTAAGTATCAAAAATCCATTTCAAAAGCCCAACCTCAATCTTCTTTTTCAATCTTTTCCTCTCGTCTTCGATTTTCTCTTTCATTTCATCCAAATCGATTTCTGTTCTTTCTTTTTCAGCTTTCAATGCATCAATTTCTGCGGTCATCCCTTTACACCGATCCTCCAAATCGAGAACGCTTTTTTTCAGCGATTCCTAAAAGATTAAAATGTTTATATTAAAGATCTAGCAGTTATTTAGTACTTATTAGCTTTTAAATCTTTAAGAATCTCTTCTATTAGATTGATCGATAAGTCTTTGAGGCACTTCATTTAAAAAGGTATTTAGAAATAACGAATTCACCATTTTGACCGATTTGCTTCATTCAAAAAAAGTCTAATACTTTTTCTATAAAAAATCATTGAAATCTTAAGAAATGTTTTATTTCTGGTTTTTTTTTTGTACGGAGGAGTGCGAACTTGTCCAATCAAAAAAGAGCAACGGCTTAGTTACAGCTTAGTTTAGATTACAGTTTAGTTACAGCTTAGTTTAGACATTTTAGTCAAAAGAAACCTATTTTGATGTCAATAGAAAAAAAGAAAGAGCTAAGCAGTTAAGAAAAAAGTTAAGCAGTTTAACTAAATCTTCAGAACAATCTCTTCTACCAACCCCTTTGTATCATCCTTAAATTTTACCAGCTTTTACGCTCGGATTTTCTTGTAAACGAGCCTAGATTGGTGTAAAAGAAAAAAGAAAGAAAAGTGTATAAGAAACAGCTTCTATTTGAAGCAAACCGTCGATCAAATAGTGAATTTTATCATTTTTGAACAAATTTATAAATTTTCAAAGACTTATCAACGTAATATTTACGTTAAAAACAAAATTTTAAAAAAAAAGGTACCATATCAGCCTCCTGTAGTCGCACTTTTTGTGTCCATTCCTCCCGAACAGTCTAAAGTTCAAGTGACGAGAGTTAAATGTAAAATTTGACTTCTTTTAGATCTAGAGATTTTATATCGATAAATTTTATTTTATTAGACCTTTATATCGATGGTTTTCACTTCCTCAACCCGTGCCATCTCCGCCTTGCTTTTCTCCTCTTTTTTTATCAAATCATTATGCAAATCTTCGAGTTTATCTAAAATATGTCTATTTTTTTTTCAAATAATGTTTTATGTTATTATTTTTTCTTCTAAATTTGGAATTTTCATATTAGATTTTTCTATCTTTCAAACTATTTAAGCTATAAGTTTTTTTTTTTGAGTAACTAGTGATGTGCCATCGGGTCGCCAAATGCATTTTAGCAAAGGGCTTTTGTTTTCTAAAGCGTATCCATGTTTTAGAAAACAAAAATCGTTTGCTAGAATGCATTTGGCGACACGATAGCACATTTCTACGCATTTCAAACGATTTTTGTTTTCTAAAACATGGATACGCTTTAGAAAACAAAAGCCCTTTGCTAAAATGCATTTGGCGATTGACGATAGCACATTTCTACTAACAACTCACCCCTCATATCCTCAATAATCGCATTTTTCTCCGACGTTTCTCTCTCAAGTTGCGCATTCTTTGCTCGAATCTCGTCCATTAACAATTTTACTTGATGATCCTACAAAAAAAAAAATCATTAACTTCATTAACTTTGACTACGATAATCAGGATACGATTTAGAAAACGCCAATCAACAGTTTGAGATCTTTTTACGTGCTGGTTGATGCTCTAAAGAATGTCCCAGCTACTGTGACCCAAAAACCCGTGTATAAATTTTGAAATCTTTAACAAATAGAATGTGTTCCTTTGAAGAAATAGTGTAAAATAGGAAACGGATTTATTTTAAATAAATCTTTTGGTTCAATTGTAGAAGATATTCAAGAAATTCAGTTGATTTCTACCGTAACTCGTTTCCGATTTTACACTTTTCCTTGAAAGGAACACACTCTATTAACAAATCTATTCTCATTTCGCGTACCTGTTCCAATCTCTCGTGGATCTCCTTTTCCATTGTCGAAATCTTCGTGTTCAACGCGGCAATCTCGTGATTTTTCCCATTCATCTCATCCTCGAGCGCGTCTTTGTCACTAAATTTGTGTAATGAGCAAATTTTACTTATAAGGGAATGTTTGTGATGGTCAAATGGCATGTGCTACGCGTTATTCGAAGCAAAAATCAACACTGATTCCGAATCTGCTTTCCGTTTCTGCTATGGAGAACTCTGTCAAAAGTTATAAGCGTGCAAAGTTTTGTATGGGATTTCAAAAGAGAAAAAGGATTTCAAAAAGCTAGAGGCTCGGACTAGAGGGTTTTGACTTGTATTCTAGCCTACTGTCACTCAGCTATTACTTTTTGATTCTGGTATAACCCTGATCTGACTAGAGCAGAGCCAGTGTAGCCCCGAGGCTAGACTTGACCTTGATTATTGTGTTTTTAAGAAATTCCTTCAGACAAAATATCTTTATGTTATCGTTTTTATTTCATTTAAATAAGCCAACCGTTTTGCCTGTTCCCTTTCCTTTTCCAATCCCTCACACTCGATTCTTCTCTGTTCGACCATCGCTTTTGCATAGGCGAATTGCTCGCGTTGGCTTGCCATCTCGTCAACAATCTGAAAATTAGACAAAAACTAAGTTTCGATTCAACGATCCAATAATTCATTCTTTAATCTATTTACTTTCTTTAATCTCATTGCCATACTCACCGCATCAGCTCTCGCTTGTGCCTCTTGCAGATTTGCCCTCAACTCTTTCATCGTTTCCTCGTTTTTCTCGATGTTCGTGTTCAACTCGTCGGCTTGTTGATTCAATTCTGAAATTTCACATTTACAACGAAATCCCTTTTCCCTTTTTCATTTTTACCATCTTCTCTTTGACTCGATTGCTCTAAACGATTTCCCATCTCGTTGATTTGCTCTCGATGCTCGGAGTTTTGCTCTTGCAACGATCGATTCTCTTCGGCGAGGATTTCGTTGGTACCGGCTAACTGAAAAAAGAAAATATGAATAGAAAATATGGTTTCTGATATTTTAAAAGTTTAAACTAACAGCAATTCATTGAAAAACTCATTGAAGGCTCAATTTCTTACAAAACTAGTTACGGTGTATTGTGGCTACCAAGGTTTGAGTACAGGGGTGAACCTGGCTTCTGATCCTATTCATAATTTGGTTCTTCTCGGAAATCCGGGTCTTTTGAAAAAACGGTCTTTTCATTGTGAAAATCTATCATATGCAAAACCCAAAGCCAATTCGATTCTCTTGAGAAAAAGGGTTAAAATAAACTTCTCCAATAGGTTCTAAGACAATGAAAACCCCAGGGCACCAATTTTTAACATTAAATCTCATTTGGGAATCATTTACAGAACGAAAAAAAGAGAAATCCCTGTGTAAATGACTGGCGATGTGTTCTTTGTGCGTGTGCACAAAGAACAATCACTCTTCATCTGGCACACCCACCCAATAGATCAGTGCACCCTTTTAGAATTCTTAAAGAGAAAAGAGCGATGAGCAACTGAGCCGGCTTGGTCGTTTTGGGCGTCACTATGCTCAAACTCTTGGGAAAAATCTCTGCCCCAAATTTGGCTGTATTTTTGCAACAAATTCTGTATTCTGTTAAACTAAAACTGGCTGATATGCTCAAGGTTGGAACTAATCCGAAAAGCCGACTTCATCCTGATAAACTATTATACAAATTTACATTTCTACCGTTAATTGAAGGGAGCGGGGAGACGAAATCTCGTCCTTTACCCTGTACTCACTTGAAAGTCCAAGACTTTCGGATCGAACGGTTCTCTCAGTTTGGTTGGTTGCTGTTTAAGAGTAACACAAAGTTTAACAGGATGTAGAATTTGTTGCAAAAATACAGCCAAACTTAGGGGAAAAATTGTTTTCAAAAAATTTGGGCATAGTGACGCCCAAAAAAGACCAAACCGGCTTTAAATATGATAACTTTTTACAATTAAAAGACCCGAATTTCCGAGAAAAACTCAAAACTCCTATAATTTTGTTGAAACTGTTAATAATATTACGTTATTTTACAATTTAGAGGCGCGATCTTTTAGAGGCGGGACAAGAAAATCAGACATTCAAATCAAAACATTAAATATTGGGTTGATGCATAATTATCCGGACTTCTTTTTGCGTGCTTGTATCTTTTTTGTTTTGAAAGCTTTTTGTCTATTTCTTTTTTTAAAATATTCGTTATTCTTTAGTGAACAAAATGCGTGTCGACAATCATATCCATCTTCGCCATATCATGCTCTACCACTTCGAAAAGGGATGGTCTGCCGCAGAGTCGTTTCGCGATCTCAAAGAACTTTTTGGTCAAGGAACAATTGGACAAGGAACAATCCATCGCTAGTAAGGGCTGGGATCTTCTTCCACACCCGCCATATTCTCCTACTGAAGCCCCAACGGACTACCACGTCAATCGATCGCTCAAAAATTGGCAAACAAATAAGATCTACAACGATTTGGATGACTTGATAGACGATGTTAAAGCGTGGATTGCCTCCAAAGATCGTTTATTCTTCGCTCGTGGAATCGATCGTCTTCCAAGCAAATGGCAATCAGTTATTGATGTAGGCGGTGAATATGCTCCAGAATAATCAATTAAACATATTTTTCTAACTATTTATGTTATTTTTTGTTAAATAAAATCATTTATAAAAGAAGTCCGGATAATTATGCATCAACCCAATACGATTTCACAGAAAAGAGCCACTTTTCTGCACAACATAGCTTACTATTAGATTACTGTTATTGACATTACTGTTTCTCAGCTTACTATTCATACCTCAGCCATCTCTCCTTTAATTCGCTTCTCTTTGTCCTTGGCATGCTCGTATTTAGCCCTGAAGAAGGTTTATATAAAATTACATAAGATTTATTAATATTAGCATTTGTTTCTAAGAAAACTCTAACACTATCCGGCTTTTTATAAATCTTTACTTCAATTCCTGTATCCTCTTGTCTTTTTCATCCTCGCCAGCTTGTGCTTCTCCCAACTGTTCTCTCACTCTTTTCAGCTCGTCCTCAATTTGATGATTTGTCATATCTAAAAAATTTACATATATTATCATACAAGAAATAGAATTTTCCGCATTACTATCTAAAGGAAACAAAACAAAAAAAAAGTCAGCTAACAAATCGTATATTAGCTTTCAATTCAAATTTAAACTTGCTGTTTGTTGATTATTTTGTTTATAAATACTACAAATTGAAGTAAAGAAGTTTTCTAAGCTAGAAGCTTTCTAAAACCGATATCTTTTATCATTTTTATCTGTACCCACCGCGATCTTCGATTCCTTTTCTCAACGAGGCCGCTTCTGCTTGAAGATCTCTGTACTGTTGCCTTGTCGCATCACAGTCAAACCTCAATCGATCCAACTCGTCTTTTAGCTGAATATCTTTTCATAATAATTTCTTAAGCTATTCTAACCCTCTGTGTTTTCGTCTTTTCCTCATTCATCCTCTCATCATTCTCTTCTTGTTGATGTTTTTGCCGATTCTCCATCTCTTCGCGGTGTCTTTCCGTGAGATTCTCGATGAACTCTTTATGAAGTCTAAAGAGTGGATATCTTTAGTGGATATTTTAAAAAAATCCAATCTATTTATGATTTCCTCACTTGTGTATATGCGCAATGCTTTCTTGTAGCTGTTGAACATTTTGCTGTTGCCTCTCGCGCTCTTCCTCTGATTTCTGAAATGTTGCTTGAGTTACAGTAATCCAAGAAATCACAGAGCTTAACCGGCTATTCAAATAGATAATCAGTTAATTAGCTAATCAATTACTTGTAATTTCTCCTCGACTCGTCTCGCTTGTTTCTCGAAGTCCGCCTTTTCGACGTCTCTAAAATTCATTTGAAGTGAATTTCCCGAACACAGTACTAGATTTAAAACTAGAATTACAGTAATACCCTAAATTTACATTCAATCTCGATTTCTACCGTACTTTTTCTTGATCTCCTCATCTTTTGCGTGTTCTCTTTCTGTTCTTTGTCGAATCTCCTTCTCGAAGCGTTCCATTTCGCGCTGCAAACGAGTCGATTGAGCCTCGGAGCGCTCGATTTTCATCTTGAAATGAGCTTTTGAACATTTGAATTTAAATCAGTTTGAAACCTGCAAATCCTTTAATTCGACACTTTTTACATGGAGTGCCGCACGGACTTTGCGCATCGCTTCATTTCCGCTCAACGGGGAACCTGTAAGAAGATTCTTGAGAATAAGCTTGTAGTAATAAAGTAAAGTAAGGAATGGCAACGAAAGATTTCCGGAGAGCGGATTGAACCACCCTCGAAGTCATAAAGGATAGTTTAGTTTTTGCAAAAATTGTGAGTTAATCCGGTGAAGAGCTCGGGGTCTTTTTGCCCTTTGCCTACTTTTCAATTCCTCCTTTCAACCGATTTTCTAAAAGATGCCAAGATGATGGTAGTCGAGGAAAAAGGACATGTTTTAGAAAATGGATTTCTAAATGAGGAACACACTGCTAGAAGCTTTTAAACGATTCCAAAACCAACCAGGACTCGTCGATCTCGCCCTCGGTTTCGCTCCGTCATTTTGTGCGGCCAACTCGGGCATCATCGAGATTTTCCCGAGTGTTTCTCTCATCGTTTCCTTTTCTTCTTTCTCCCGTCGCAACTCCGTTTCCAGTCTCGAGATTCGACGCGTTTTCTCCGAGTTTTGCTTTTCAACCTGAAATTTATTCATTTTAAAATATTAGAATCTATTTTAGAAAATGTTTTTTACAATTTCCTTGAAACTTCTCAAACCTCAGCATTTCTCTCGGAAAGTTCATCAAATTTGTTGAAGATTTCACTCATCGCCTCGTCTTTTTCCCGGTTCATTTGGTTTTGCACACTGCTTGTCTGAAAAAAAGTTGTTAAAAATCGATTTAAAAAAATTAATTTTTTAGCTTCGTTGACTTCATTTAAACTTCAAAACGGCCCATTTACTCTGAGCTCTCACAAAATCAAATTTCCTTGGACACTTGATTTTTTAATTCTTTTACACTGAAAGGTTTACCAGAAAAATAAGGAGCAAAGTGTGCCAGTGCCAGTAAACGATCGTTTACAAGTGCACAAAGTACGGGTTGAGAGGAAATTTGGCTCAATTCTACGCTATTTTTCGATTTGTACCCGATTTTCGGCATGTCGCAGCGCTTGTTGCATCATTTGTGTGCATTTCGCGAAATCGCTCATCTGTTTCTCGAGATCGGTGGCTGTGTTAGAGCGGAGGTCTTTCATCTAAAAAAAAATACTGTAGTCAAATTACTGTAGACTAGTGTATTTACTGTAAATCTACTGTAAGGCACGATTGTAAGCCTAGCTCGATTTCCCTACCTGTCTCTTCACTGCCAGAAACGCTTTCCATAGAGCAATCAACTGTCGGTGTTGAGTGTCCAAATGACTCCGGTATCTCTGAAAAGGAATTTTGTTTTGATTTTAAATTTTAAATCAAAGTATATCCCACCTGATTCTCAATTCGAAACCTCTCCTGTTCATCCCTGTACTCCTTGCTGAGTACCTCGAGTGTGCGAGTCAATTCACTGACGTCGGCTCTAAAATATTATCAGTTTACGGTAGTCAAAAAATTTCTATCCAATAGAGACATCTAATCAAAATTTGGCTCAAGAAAGATCCAGAGATGAGCGATGAAGTCAAAGAACTATGAGTCCCAATTGAGTCCTACTTTGTCAAATGCTACTACTTTTATTAGGTTGAGTACTAACAAGGGAAGGTCAACTGGATTTGCTGACCAAATCACATGAGCCATAGACCAGTCGACGCAGAGTTTCACGCTGATTATGATGCTGCTTTTTTTTGCTACGGAGCACTCTGTCAAAAGTTATGCCCGTTTAAAGTTTTGTACGGAGTTTCAAAAATTAAACCGTCACATTATAACCCTTCTTCCCGAGCTCAGCAGTTGCAGCGGTGGCCGAGTGGTAGTGAGTTAAGACGCGAGGCGAGGGTCATCTGGTTCGAGTCCGGTAGCTTTTTCTTTTTTTAAGTTTTAATGCCTTGTATCTTCTCTTTCGCACAATCGTATAACATCTGGCACACCACTAATACGGATAAGAAGCCCGGATCGTTCCTATCTAACCCACTACCACTCGACCACCGCTGCAACTGCTGAGCTCGGGAAGACAGGGTTATAATGTGACGGTTTAATTTTTGAAACTCTGTACAAAACTTTAAACGGGTATAACTTTTGACAGAGTGCTCCGTAGCAAAAAAGAAAAGCAGCATCATAATCAGCGTGAAACTCTGCGTCGACTGGTCTATGGCTCATGTGATTTGGCCAGCAGTTGACCTTCCCTTGTAAGTCTTGCACCCTTCATTTCATTATCTAAATGAACGAGTCTCAAACTACCAAATACCAAACGAACACTTGGCTTTTTGCTAATGAAAAACCTTCAAAACAAAGCTTTTCAGAAACTTTCAAAAGTCATTGGCAAGAGGAATGATTAGCCCAATCATAATCATAATGATACAGAGTACAGTACAATCTAATGAAAAAAAACCGTATTCTTATTCAATTAGAAAATGAATATGGTTGAAAAATTTAGTACTCAACCTAATAGCCCTATGCAATTTCATTTCCATTTTCTATTTATCGATCAGTTGAAAATCCAAAACTCTTTCCAAATACACTACTGGACGAAAAAAACCAAACGCAAAACGATCGTCACTTTCGCGCGTCTGTAACTCCCTTGTCTTTACCGTATTTCTAAATATTAACATTACCATTGTGTAGCCCTTGAAAAGAGCTTTCAGAAAATGTATAACACTAATAGTTTAAACTCAAAGACAAGGGAGTTACAGAGGCGCGAAAGTGACGATCTTTTTTCAAATATGATATTTCATTGTCCAGTACTGTACCTCAAGTTCACATTTGTCGATAAAGCTGCGTCATTCTCGGCTTTCAACATTTCGTTGATCTCCTCGAGTGTGTTGTTTCTAAAAACTTCTTTCACCATTTCCATTTTCAAGATCTTATTTTCCACTTCACTTTTAAAGAAAATTTTCCCGAAAATCTCCGAAAGTGCCCCAAAATTTATGGGCATCAATTGGGGCAATCGAGCCAAAAAGAGATGATTGAAAGCTTTTTAAGGGGAAAATTTATTTACAAGGTACCTTTGGTGACTTATCTCCCATTTCTCAACTCACTTGAAAAGCTCGGCTTTAAGTTTATTGATTAATCCCTCGATTTCCCGCTCATTTTCCTCTTCTCTTTCTTTTCCGAAAAGCGATGGATCGATGTTGATATTGATCGTTTCCGAGTGACGATCGACATCGAATGAACTGAAATTGAAATGATTGAAATGGATTTGGCAATAATTCTCGGCAAATAATAAAACTTTTAAAAGCTACCGATTGAGGAGCGGTGACGAGCGATGCATCGGCGAAACCCTCAATTGAGATGGAGAATAAGCGGGAAGGGTGGCTTCTAGGGACAATTCGGAGGATGGCTGATAGATGGAATTTCTAAAATCATAGAAATTGATTGAGAATCTCATTGAAACTCACAAATTCTGCCTGCCACTGTCCCCTCCTCCACCCATTCTTCTCTTCGATGTGCCGGCCATCATCGCGTCTTTTTCGGAGGCTCGTTGACGGATTTTTTGAATCTGAAATTGATTAGATAGATCTTTTTTTGGTCTTAGCTTTCAATCTAATGTCAACGATATTAAATATTTCAAATTCAAATCGCAATTTCTAGTTGCTAAATCGAACACAAACGGCTAATGAAAAACCTTCAAAACAAAGCTTTTCAAAAACTTTCAAAAATCATTTGCAAGTGAAATGCTTCCTTGCCTACATTGGAATCATTGTTAAACTACTTGCTTTAACTTCTACTTGAATCCTGATTAAACAAGTCAAATCTTAGCTTAATGTAACTACAGGATGCGTCAAAAGTTTTGTTTTCTCCTAAAAAAACCACTTTTTACGATGTTTTAAAATTTCAAAGATTTAAAACCTACAAAATTAGATTTTTCAAATATTTTTACGCTAGAAAATTGTTTCCTATTTTTTTATTTTACTCATATAGAAAATTTTATAGAACTTTTTATGACAACATTTGAGGTCGCAGGGTAAAATAGCTTTCCTAGCTTCGTTAGTCAAGTTTTACTATTTTCTCCAAAACCAACAAAGTTTTTGCATAAGTGTTAAAGAGTTTTTTTGTAGCCTTTAAAGTCGACAATTTAAAGGTAAAACATTTCTCATAACTTTCACTTTTTAAAGAATTTTTTGATGTTTTCTAAAAACACTCATTTTTTAAGGGACAAAAGTCTTGTTCTTTGACACAAAATACTAATCTTGTTACTTTTTTCATCAATAAATTGTTTTTCTAAGACTTTTGTCCCTTAAAAAAATGAGTGGTTTTAGAAAACATGAAAAATTCTTTAAAAAGTGAAAAGTTATGAGAAAGTTTTACCGATTATTGTCGACTTTGAAGGCTACAAAAAACTCTTTAACACTTATGCAAAAACTTTGTTGGTTTTGGAGAAAAAAGTAAAACTTGACTAATTTTGAAAATTTTCAAGACTTTTGTCCATGACTGTATCTAATCTAATCTGTTTATCTAATCTAATCTAATCTAATCTAATCTAATCTAATCTAATCTAATCATCTATTGGTCTAAAACTATAGCCCAAACATATCTTAAACTTAATCTAAACACCTGACTTTAAAGTGGTATAAATTGGGTGCACAAAACGCCTGAGGATAACAGGATAGTACAAAATCTCCTATATGAGTAGAATAGAAAATATGAAACAAAACAAAACAAACAATTTCGCATACCTGATCAGCCAATCCCTGTATGACCTCTCGATTCCTGCGATTCGCCTCAACACCAGCTTCGAGTCTCTGTCGGCTTTCCGTTAACTCTTGTGGCACTTTTGAGACATCGTCATTTGAACCTGGAATTAATACAATACAATATTTCATCATTAAATAAACATAAAAATACCCAATAAACAAAACGAATTTCACTCACCCGTCTCGAGTTGCACCTTGATAGGCATCTTGGTGCTTTTTCAGCTCATATTCGGCTTCGTCGTGCGAAAATCAGCTCATTTTAGCTAAATCAGGAAAAACGTCTTTTGAAAACGCGTAAATTGCTCAAAAAAAAAAAACGAAAGCTTTATGAACAAATATTTACATCAAAAGAAGCAAAGATTATTTTAAAATTTGCAGAAAAGAGTTTTATTTAAATGATTTTTTGCAAAAATTTACTCAAATCGTACTAAGAATCTATAAAAACCTAGGAAAAGAACTAAAATCTCGAAAAATTTTCGAAATTTTCGAAAAATGGTGGCGGGGAAAACGAATTCGAACAATGCTTTTCAACTGGACAGGGGAAAGCAACAAAAAGCCGCCTCAATAATTGCCCGTCAGCCAATCGACGAAAAAAAAAAAGAATTCTCGAAAATGCCTAAATTCTTTACGGGAAAAAGTGTAAGAAAAAGTACACTTTGAATTGGAAAATTTTCGATGATTCGAACAGTTTAGAAGTGCTGTACTTTGTGCTCGAATATTTGCGTAAACGCAACCTCCTTGGTGCACTCGATTTTTTTTGTTTGTTTACCTAATGGCTTTGAATTGTTGCAGCAAGAAAATTGAGGAATTCAGTGCGCCAGAAAGTGTGCGTTTATTACAAATAAGCACAGTTCAACGTAAATTCACCCTTTCTGGCCCATTTTTCATCTAAATCGCTTTAAATTGCAAGAAAAATGAAGAATTCAGTGCACCAGAAAAGGGGATGTTTACTTGAGCAGTAAGTATACGAATTCTAGGCCACTAGTACTCATTAGATAGACAAAACAACAAATGAATACCTTAAAAGCTGTAATAGTAGCCCCCCCTATAGGAGCGTCGTGTAGTCTAAGTTTACACTCAAACAAACGCTCATATCTCGGCGCCCAGACATTTGTTTCAGCGCGCTTAGGTATCAAATTAAAGTAGAGAGAATGGGTGATTTTTTGAGATGTCACACATATTTTTAGCCTTGACAGGCTCAATGATTTAATCAGTTTTTTTTTCTACTCAAAACTCTGAACAAAACACTGGTACACTATTCTCAACGAATTTCAAGCTACCTTTTATCCTAGTTTTAAATGAAGTAGAAAAACTTATGAAAAGCTAGTGTTGATTAAAACTGTAATAGAACGGAGCATCGAACGGAGCGTCATGTAGTCGAAGTTCACTCTCAAATAAACGCTCAGATCTTGACACTAGTACGTTTCCTTCGGCTGGCTTTGATATCAAATTAAAGTAGAGAGAATGGGTGATTTTTTGAGATATGACACATATCTTTAGCATTAACCAGCGCTTAGAGAAAAATGATTGAAAAGTGGTAAAAAAAGGGCCGATTTTTTATAATTTTTCAATCATTTTTCTCTAAGCGCTGCTTAATGCTTAAATCTTTAACAACTTTTTGACATATGTGTTATATGTCAAAAAAAATCACCCATCCTTCCTACTTTAATTTGATACCTAAGCGCGCTGAAAAAATGTCTGGGCGCCGAGACATGAGCGGTTTTTTGAGTGTAAACTTAGACTACACGACGCTCCTATAGGGTGTGTTTCTATTAGAATATTTGGGTTAATTGTCGCAACAAGATATCACGCGCGTTCAACGACAATAATTCCTTGATTTAAGCTTTATTTATATATATGCTTTATTCATGGGCGAATAAAAGCGAATCAGATAATCATAACTGCATATAACATATTGCTACAATACTATCACCAAAAAAAGAGAGAAAACTAAAGATAGTACAGTAAGAGTACAGTTAGGAAACACAGATACAAAAAGATTAAATATAGGGCAGATTTGACATGGCAATAAGATCTATTAGGTTGTCCAATAAGTAATGCGTGTTACTTATTTCGAAACTATTGCGAAATCGCTTCTCTTTTTAATCATCAGCATCTTGTGTTTATTTTTATATATTATTTTATTCATTTGCCTTTGTTTTATAATAGATATGTTGTTTTGCAGATGAAAGACAAAAAGTTTGTTGTCCGCGCATCAATGCTGTATGATTTCAAACGAGGTAAAACTGCAGCGGATTGCCATCGAACTATCTGTGCCGCATTTGGAGAGGATTCAATTTCAATTAGTCAGTGCCAGCGCTGGTTTAAACGATTTGCGGACGGAAACGAGTCGTTAGAGGACGAGGAACGCGCTGGAAGGCAAAAATGGCTCGACGATTTCTTCTCATCGAAACCAGCTTCATTCTATTATGACGGACTTCACTCTTTGCTCGGACGATGGAGAAATGTTGTTGATTGTTGTGGAGAATATATCGATTAATAAAGTTCTCTTTTGTTAATTTTGTGATATTTTGAAAATCGTGTCAAAACACGCATTACTTATTGGACAACCTAATAATTCGTTTACAGATACTTTGAATTTTCCTACAGACGAGAAGATACCAGACGGGAGCTTATTCCAAACCCTACTAATACGGTTCGCAAAAGGATGATTAACCAGTGCTTAGAGAAAAATGATGAAAAATCGGCGCTTTTTTGACACTTTTTTTTTGAGATATGAGCGGTTCTTTGAGTGTAGACTTAGACTACACGACGCTCCTATAGGAGGGGGGCTACTATTACAGCTTTTACGGTAGTTAAATGAATCCCCAAAACATGGCTGTTTTCACTTGGCTGCCAAAGGTTAAATTCTATTTTGTGCCCTCGCCCATTTCTATTTTGCACTCGATTCTGTCTCATTTTTCTCCAATTTGACCAAAATTTCATTTTTTTCATTTTTCTCGTGAGCCTTCTACTTCCTCTCGCATGCTTTCGCTGTGCTTTTCAATTTCTTCAGTCACATAGAGCGCCTTTCGTAACAGTAACGATAAATCTTATAAAATTTGTCGATTTTTCTCAGCAAACGTCGTCCTCGATTCATTTTTTGTACTCTGGAGAAGCTCCAAAACATTGTTTCTTGTCGATTTTATTGTTTGGCTTGCAAAGAAAGCGATGGTTGGCTTATATCGGATGTGATGTGCTGAGATTGCCCACAGGGCAACTGCGATTCGATGCGAGCCTAGCCACGAGCCATCCTTTGGAGCCACGAAGCTCCAAAGGACGCACTCAACTGAATAAGCTTCTTTATTCGGGCAAAAAGTAGTATTTTGAGTGGGATTTGTGCGTAATCTCCTGGGAGATTCGTGTTGAATCCCCAAGAGGAGAAAAAGAAGAAACTCACTCATGGAAATTGAAAAATTAAGAGAGAAAGGGGGGAAATCTCGGAGGGGAAACCATAGAATTGATACAAATCGGGAATTAGTGGGATATGAGAAAATCGTGCTAACGGTAGAAAAAACGAAATGAATACCGTAAATACTGTAATAGTACCCCAACCCGATAATGACGATGTGGAGTGTTGCGTAGTCTAGCTTTGAACGAGTTTTTCTCGACACTGGTTTATGCTACAATGCGCGCTTAGGTATCAAAAAATAGCTGAAATTCAGGGCTATTTTTTGATACCTAAACGAACATTGTAGCAGGAAATAGTATCTGAACTTATAGCTACAGTAGCTCTGTCTCACTACAATTGCTACAGTAATCCATAGTAACTTTAGGGTAATCCTCAAGTTTTAAACCCCGAGATTTCAGTTCCTGGAATTTCTGATTGAAAAAACTGAAACTCAAATGCACAGTGATTAAGTATCACTGTGCATTTCTCTATGATTTCTTTCACTTTATCGTTTGAATAAAGTATTATTATTATTATCAAACGCATTTCTGACTTCCAGACCCAGATACACTTCTGAAAATTGATGTTTTTGATCAAAATTTTAGGGAAAATCGAAAAACCAATCTTTTTGTCGATTTTTATGAATTCATGACAATAAATTAGCCACAATTTTGAGAATTTCGAATAGAAAATCGAGGATATTCATGAAAATTGAAAAATTCGGATCAAGTGGGAATTCGGATCAATGGGAATTTGGAAATATGAATAAATAAAAATGAAAAAGAAACCGGTTTCCGTGGGTGTTTACTTATTTTTGGTGAGGAAAAAGAGAAATTTGAGCTGAAAATTTGGGGATAAAAGCTGACTACTGGAAAGTTGTATAACTTAAACTCTAGCAAAGCTTGAATATCAAAATTTACATTTACAAGAGACGTCATTTGCTGCACAGAATAGCAAGATGCTGTACAGAATAGCAAGATGCTGCACAGAATAGCAAGATGCTGCACAGAATAGCAAGATGCTGTACAGAATAGCAAGATGCTGCACAGAATAGCAAGATGCTGCACAGAATAGCAAGATGCTGCACAAAATAGCAAGATTGGCTAGGTAATGTCAAAGTTACTCCAAAAAAATGCGACTTTGGGACAACGTAAACAACGTAAACAACGTTTTGCAAATGGAAATGAAAAAAAAATAGAAATATGGATTTATTTAGAGTATTTGGCAAGAGATATTGAGGATTATAAGGAAAAATTTGAGTTTGATTGACTGGGAGAAGAGGGTGGAGGGGTGACACCATCTGGACACTCCTTCCCTCCCCATGCTTTCCCCTCTCACCTAAATCCCCGCACTTCTTCTCTTCTTTTAGAAAAGAGTGCCAAAAAGGACTTTCTCCATGACGACCACTATTGCAAGAGTGAAAAGGACTACTTAGTTAGGGGTTTTTGATTTTCGTGTTTTTGTCTGACCGATAGCTTTTGTCTGACCACCATTAGCCACTCATTAGCGTACTTTGCTGGCTAAACGCACCCTTCCTAGCGCACTCGATTCTTCATAGTTGCAAGAAAAGCGAGGAATTCAATGCACCAGAAAGAAAGCGTTTCTGTTGAAAACTTGAGCATTTGTTTTTATCGGAAACATCGAAGTCTTGCTCATTTATTTATGCTCAAATTTAGAAACATAACCGCTTTAATGTACTTGATTCTTGATTTGTTTATAATCATTTGAATCAACAAAAATTCTGCATTAGTTATGCCAGAAAGAATGCGTTTAGGCATTTGTTTAGTGAACTTTGTGAACTTTTTAAAAGATTGA